CACACACCCGTTCTCACTGTTCTTGCAGGCGACCTGCGCACCCCCAGCCCACTTGGAGACCTGCCGTTTGCGGCCGCCACTCACACTGTCAACAGCATTAATGTTAACCTTCTTCTTGAACAGCTTCTCCATCAGATCCAGATCGTTGCCTCTGGCCGCATCCTGGAAGCATCTCTCGTCGGGCAGCACTGGAAGAGAGCAAGCCCAGCTGGCACAGGAGCTGAGGCCCAAGAGAAAGCCCCAGGATGCGGGAACCACTGGCTGGGCCTTCCAGTCTGCCCTTGAGAGGGCAGCTGGGCCCCAGCACTTCACAAAGCTGCCCTGTCAAGATCCACTTCTGCTGCTCCGACTGCTTCCACGTCCTTCAAGTGTCCTGGTCCCAAACGAAATCTTATTCACAAGGCCCACCCGGAAGTCAGCAATGTGGTGTCTGGCTTGGGGTGGAATGGGGGAGGCACTCCCTTCCCAGGGGTTGCTGTTGGTGAAAATGTGTGTGAGATTCACTGGGGCGGAGGCCCACAGGTCAGCCCACAGTGATAAAGCTGCCACCTACAGCACTGCACAGACGCCACCCGTACAGGGACCAAGCCCTAAAATGCAGCCCATCCCATAAATACACAAAGGCTGAGACTTGCAGGAAAGGTCACACCCACTGCAAACACCGCCCGTCACGCACAAACACGCACTCCCGCAGCTGCCTGCCCTTGGTAAGGAGCAGAGGACAGCCCGGGATTTACTGAGGCTTCTGTCATGCAGAGGACCTGGAGGGCTCTCGGGACGGCCCCAACACAGGGGCAAAATCAGATGGTGCCTGCCTCACAGCAGCCATTTCCACAAGGAGGGGTGCCTGGGCACTTTTAAAAGATTTATTTATTTATTTGAAAGGTAGAGTTACGGGGGGCGGGGGGGGACAGAGAGACAGAGAGAGAGAATCTTCCATCTGCTGGTTCACTCCCCAGTTGGCTGCAACAGCTGGATCTGAGCTGATCTGGAGCCAGGAGCCAGGAGCTTCTTCCAGGCCTCCCCCGTGGGTGCAGGGGCCCAAGGACTGGGCCATCTTCCACTGCTTTCCCAGGCCGTTAGCAGTGGAGTTGCGGGGACTCAAAGCAGGGCCCGTGGGGAAGCCAGTGCAGCAGGTAGAGCCTTAACCTACAGTGCCACAGCGTCGGCCCCACTGGGCAGGTTTGTAGCTATGCTGCTGAGTGGTTTCCTAAGACTTATTGGCCATGCAGCTCCTCCACAGGAGAGGGTGTGGGGGCGGGGCCGTGTCCCCCACAGTCACAGTGCCGCCCCACACCCCCGCAGCTGTGAACATCAGACCTTAACGTAAAGGCAGCGTGAGGTCTGATGTGAGCTGAGGGCTGCTTCTGCAGGAGAGACAAGTGCAGCGCAGACACAGAGCAAAGGCCATGGGGGACGCCGGCTACACAAAGAAACCAGCCCTGTCCACCGGTTCTTGGCCTCAGCCCCTGGAACTGGGAGAAGACGCATTTCTGTAGTTCCGTGTCTCTGGGGCACTTTCATAAGGCAGTCCCAGCAAACTGACACGGGCTTCCAAGTCCCTTCCAGCACCTGGAATCCTCTTTCTACTCCTGTTCTTGCCACCACCGGGTGACATCACCACTGCTGAGGACACTAAGCCCGACATCGGCCTCTCAGTTCCCTGTCTCATTCACACCCAACACCTGTCCCCACCTGGCCTCAGCCACCCAGTCAAGGGGCACACTCTCAGTCAACACCGGAACTCCACACCACCTGAAATCTTCACTTAAAATATCCAGCTTTCCCACCCATTCAGCTCACCTGCTCCAGTTCTCCAGGTCCAGGAGTTCTGCTCCCTACGCAGCCCTCAGCTCACCCTCCTGACATCCAGTCCTCATTGTGCGGTGTAGACACTGCCCCGACCATCCAGTCCTCCCCGTGCTGTGTAGACACTGCCCCTGACCATCCAGTTCTCACTGTGCAGTGTAGACACTGCCCCTGACCATCCAGCCCTCCCCGTGCTGTGTAGACACTGCCCCTGACCATCCAGTTCTCACTGTGCAGTGTAGACACTACCCCTGACCATCCAGTCCTCCCCGTGCTGTGTAGACACTGCCATCCTGACCATCCAGTCATCACTGTGCGGTGTAGACACTGCCCCTGACCATCCAGTCCTCACTGTGCTGTGTAGACACTGCCATCCTGACCATCTAGTCCTCGGCATGCTGTGTAGACACTGCCATCCTGACCATCCAGTCCTCACCGTGCTGTGTAGACACTGCCATCCTGACCATCCAGCCCTCCACGTACTGTGTAGACACTGCCCCTGACCATCCAGTCCTCCCCGTACTGTGTAGACACTGCCATCCTGA